CTCCTGGGGTGGGTGCGGGTAAGCCACCTGCGGCAGCCGGGTAGGGGCCACCTCGGTCTAGGGGCCACCTGGGGCTGGGTCCCACCGTCTGCCCTCGGGCAGTAAGTGCACCTGTTCCGTGCTGAAGCGGTCGGGCCTCAAATGGCACCGTTGGGCGGTTTGTACATCACCATCTTTGTAAAAAATACGTAGCGACAAAATATAACACAAACAGGTAACAGATATTGATAGCCGTGGTTTGTGGCTAATGCAGTCGAGCACATTTGTCACCAACGTTGTCGGTCGCCTTTTCTACAAGGTGTTCTCTGATCTTCCTGGTATCGCGGAGCGGCAGGCTGCAGGCTAAACCCGGCTGGTGAGAAGACACTGCCCACACTGGGACCCACCGGGGCGGGGGAGGACAGAGAAGGAAAGAGGAAACCGCTCGGGTAGCTCCGAACTGCCCCACAGCCCTCGAGCTGTGGCAGCACAACCTTTCCGAGCCTGCCGAGGGGAAGGGCCTGGCTGGGGGCTGCGGCTGCAGCACTCCCAGGCTCCAGATCTCTCTCGCCCTGCTAATGTCAACTCTGAGGCAGTCAGCTACGTACCCTTTATATTACAGGGGCAGAAGCCAACCAGAGCCCTCAGAAAAACAGCCATGGAGACAGAAGTGTAGTGTGGGGGCACTCTTCTCCGTGCATGCTGAGCGACCAAGGGCAAAGCCAGCAGGAACAACACTGCCTGTTACTCATGCTGACAGCCTTCAACGTGCATAATGGCCACCTCCAACTACTGTCATATATTGCGTGAAACTCTGAACTGCAACCCCAGTTGCGATACTGTGGGACCTTTGGCCATGTCTTCTCCCTTCCTTCCTCCATAAGAAGTAAGAACAGATAATTTTCTTCATGTTGCTCAGACACCAGCAAGCACAAATTATAATGCCCACCTTCTTTGCTGCTCCCCAGGGAGAATGTTCTTCCCTATATCCATCTATCACTTTGTGGGAAAATAACAGAAGATTGGTGAGGAGAATTGTAAACATGCTCAAGTGACTTGCAGCAGAGGTGTTGAAAAACACATATATCGTAGTAATCGTTGCTTAGTCTTGTGTGTTTGACAAGTAGAACGTCTGTGTTCAGATAACACAGGCCTGTGATAGACTTAGAAGCACCCTGTTGAACACACTTGAGATTCCTGCCTTGCTGCAGGAAAGATCAAAGCACAGTGGTAAACTATGCCTGTGCAAATCCCTGATACACAGATGAAAACAGCTGGTTCAGTAATCCTCTAGCATGGACTGAGCCCTGTGGTGCCTGCGTTCCTGCTTGTGTGCCTCTGCCCAGGTGCTGCTTCAGGGATGCCATGGTTGGCTAGGTAATGAAAATAAGTTTACTGTTTGCATTTCATCCATGGTTTTGTGTTTTTTTCTGTGTCCTGCCTGTGCTGACTTGCACACACTTAATCATCTAAAGCCCTAAAGATGCCAAATCTATAGAGGAGTTTTCGTACTGAGTGGAACAATAAACCATTCTCTCCCTCAAGGTCATCAAAGGATAACGAGAAGTCAATAGCCAGCCATAAGATGCATCAGTATTGCTGCATAAGTGCAATATATATTCTGTCCAGCAGATGGAAGTATGCACATCTGAAAGATTTGTGTTACAGCAAAAGTGATAATCACAGTCAAATTATCATCAAATATTCTAGAAGTAGAATATGCAAAAATAGTTTTCCTAGCACAGTTGCAAGAAAAGAAAGCTGTGCTAAGATAAAAGTTATATATGTGTAGAGGGGAGGTTTGCATTGGCACTGAACTCTGTGTTGAAATGTTGGTATAGCATAGTAGGTGTACATATTTGTGTGTAATGATTAATGGAAGTGTGTGATTCTGTTTGAAAGTCCGCTCCCCTGCACAGTGTGTTAATGTGAGCTCAGCATTCATGTGGGCACTCAGCACACTGTTGGCACTACTCCACCTGCCCCACCTTTCTGTCCAGATTCCTACAAGGAGCAGCTCGTTTCTTAACCTCAGCATTTTCTCTTGGAGTTACGATGTCGATTTAGCACCCTGCAGTTTAAATGCTGGCATACAGCCACGGGGCATGACACGTTTAAGTCAAGGATTGCAGTCCTGTTCCAAGGAGGACTTCCAGTGCACTTGAGGGTGGGTGAGCGGGGTAACAAGCAGAGTGCTAGAAAACAAGGAGCTGCCAGATGTAGTGCCAGAGCCTGCCTGGGCTCTAGAGGGCTGAGGGGGTGTCAGTGCTAACCCCGTCCTGGTGTTTCACTGAGCAGCCAGCCCCAGAAGAGGAACTCGGTCCTCTCAAGATTTGTTTATCTTATAACCAGTATAACCCGCTGTCTCTAAACTTGGATTTGGGGATAGGAAGAGTAATCACAAGCTGCTGTCACATGGCATTCAAGAATTTGGATTCTCACCAGCCTGCTGTTCTGGGCAATCCGTTTGGACTCACCATCTTGCTGCATATATTTAAAAATCCTTTGGTTATAGCTACTACCCTCTGTGCTCTCCATTCAATTCCTTGACTCCCCCTGACTGTTCCCCCCTTTCCAGGGTGGCAGCCTTCCTCATTTTTCCCTTTATGATCAAAATGGCAATTGAACCTGAGGGCTTTTTCACAGGACTGGTACTGTAGCGTGGATATGATGGTTCACTCTGCTTCAGCCATCCTCTTCCTGCTCCTTTTTGCATTCGCTGTTTCTCTCCTTGTCTTTTGCTGTGGTAACGTTTACCTTCACCCTGTGCTCACCCTGGCAACTACGACTTCCTTTCCTGGTCACACAGTCCAGACAAAGGTTCTGCATCATAAAGGTTTTTGTAGAGGGCAGGTTATTTTTACCCATTTTCTTGCCCTTGCACAGGAGGTGACAGATGTGTATTTCCAAGCACGTCCAGGTAAGGGTTCAGAACAGCCAACCACCTGCTGCTGCTCAGGAGTGCAAGGGATGTTGGCCTCGAGTTTCCGTTGCCTGGAGAAAGTATGGTGAGACCATTCTGGGGTCCCAGGAAGAGGACAAGCTATGGCATTTCAATACCAATTTGGAAAGAAGAAAGACTTTGATGTCATGATAACCTAACAAAACAGTTTGCTGGTTTTCATTGCCTTCCACAGGTTCGGCACTTGACTCTCAAAGGATGTGGTTATCATGTGGTTACATTAGAGCTGTTTTAAACTCTTTCCAAATGCCTGTGTGCAGCCACTCTGACTTCTGGCAAAAGAAACAGTAGTATGATGCAAATAAGCAATGGCTAAGTGATTTCTGGATTGTAATGCAAAAGTACTTCTAAGATCTCTACAAATATACAGAACAATAATAAGGGATGCATATTCCCACGTATGCTGAGCATTCAGAATGTCCTGGCAGTCCACAAAGGAAGCTGTTCTTAAAGCAATGTTTCTTAATATGTTTTTACCATGTGGACATGAGCAATGGACGTAGAGACTATTTGTAGTATTTATAAAGGGCTTGTTGTAGTAACATTGACATGAACTAGGAAAATGAAATGTAAAGTGGAATTGAAGCAAACAAGGAAACCTGCTGCTGCTCAAGTCCCCTGTACTGCCCCAACCCTATATAATCATTTACCTAATATTAAAATAAAGAAATTGTAACTAGACATGATTTATCTACGATTCAGTTAAGGAACTAACCACCAGACAATGCAGTATTGTTGATAAGCAGGGTATTCCTGTCAAGAGAGTGATGACCTGTAGGCCTTGTCAGCAAACTGAGAAAACCACTTGGAATTGCCAAGATCAGAGGAGAAGTAGGTAAAAGGTAGTTCCAGCAGGGGGAGATCATGACCACCGACTCATTCACCACCTACCCAAATGATACCACCTACTCAAAAGACAACAATGGAAGAAGACAACAGAGTCTGCACACTAATTTACATGGGAAGCAAAGAAATCTTGACCAATCATTAAAGAGAATAACAATAAGCATGTATTAATTGTTTGAATATGTAATAATCAAGTTATAAAAGTGGAGAGTTTGGGAACTAATGTGTGCTCCTGTTTTGGGACGAGCACCTCATTTCTGTGCATTGATGGAATAAACTTAGAAATACCTCTGCTCTGTGTGTTACTAGCTTGCACACCAGGTAAAGAACCCAGATTTAGGACAACAAGCTCAGTGCTCCAAGGCATGAACTCTACATATAATTTGAGATCTGAAGGGAAAGATGTATTTTTTAAAGTTGCTGCAGACACGACATAAGCAAGAAAGGCTTGTACGCTTTTATAAAAATTATTTTTGTTAGACTTGAAAAACTGTTGTGACAGGCTGGTAACAAGTCCCGGCTCAAAGGTTAACAAGTATTTATAGGTTATGAAGAATATATGAAGAATTAACAAACATGTTACATCAACTAGTTTCTTCTGGCAATGATGAGCAGTGCACAATTAAGCTGTGTGCACACAGGGACTTCATAGCCCCGTTTAATTATTGGAGCCATAGCTCACGCTGATCACAGTAAACGGCTGCTACTTCCCACACTTCAGCCTTCTACTGCACACATTGGCTTGGTGGAAATCTGACTCCATAGGCCTTATTGGATTATTCATTACTTGCATGTAATTATTAATGAGAGGAGGACTGGGTTTTGAAAGTAGTTGGAATCTCTTGAGTAAGAGCCTAGGCTGAAAAGAGCAGGTAGTTGGAGTGAAAACTATTTCACCTCCTGAACATAACTGTCTATCTCTAGGTGAAAAAAAGAAAAGTTCTGTTCTCTCTCCACAATTTTAATCTCTCTACAAATTTACCTTATTCACTATTTATGTGTCATGCTTTGTATATATCACCTTTTTCTTATCCTTTTGCTGAACTCAGGATGACTTGCAAGTGCTCTTCCTCTTTTTTTTGGAGGGGAATAAGGCTGTTTTTTGGGGGGGGGTGCATAAGGCTGGGTGGTATCTATGGAAAAGATTTACCTTTCTTTTTTCTGGAGGCAAACAGGAAAAGATCAAGGTAGTTTTTGGGGATTTTTCAACTTGACAGCCATAATATATGTCACACACAATATATTGTCAAAATACGTTCCAACAAAGGAATGTGTGGCTGTTCTTTGTGGCTGCTAAATTGTTTTTAAATTTCCTAATCTTGTGATAAGAAAGTAACTCTGCTTTTTCCTGTCACATGCAGTGTGGGATTTTAAAGTTAGGCAACATTTGCTCTGAAATGTCCTTATTATGCATCTTATATAACTGGTGACTAGATGGAATACTGATGGCCTACTTAAAATAGTGCTTTTAAGAAGCAATTACTGTTTTTTTCTCTTCAAGCAATGGGTGGTCTGTCTTTTATTACATTTTGGAGAGGTCCCCAGCTCATGCCTTATCTCCTTCCTCACTTTCCTCCCCTCCTGATAGGAACTTGTGCCAAATGCGTTGATTATATGCCCTCTTCCTCATCTCCAGCCTAAATTTACTCCTCGCCAGTTTATAGCTATTAATTCTCGTGACAACTTTGTCATTCAGCTCTTCTGCTGCTGTTTAATGGTTCCTGTAACTTGCTAGAGGCTGTGTAGGCGATTGATCATCGACCTGGCTTGGTCTATCAGGTCTAAGAAGCCATCCCAAATCTCCCTTTGGAATGGAAGACCCAGATGCTACAGCTCTTTTGTGCTCACAAGGCAAATCAGCGGTCCAGAAGTTACTGCCAGCCACCCCTGGGGAATCTTAGAGAGCGAAGCTGGGCCAAAGTGGTTAAGTTGTCAGGCAATGTAATGGGCTTTGTCAGCTGTAGCAAGGCAGCATCCCCGGAGCTGATCCCTCCTTTACCATCCAAACTTAGTGGGATGTACCTCTTGGGTCCCTGACCCCAACTCCCTATGTTCCCTGGCACTCACAGTAACGTACTTCATATTCATACACTGTTTGAGCTCCTGTTTTTAATACACTTGGGATTTACACTTCCATTGCGGGGCTTCTCTGAAACGTCCACTTGTGGGATACATCTCCCGACAGTCCAGGGGCGGTACGGCTGTACTCCGCAAACACCCACTTGTTGCTGTGACAGCTCTGTCCGCTGTCTCTCCCGTTTCCCTCACCCGTCCCCTGTCGAAGCCGCTGTACCTACA